AGTCGGGACTTTTTTTACGCAAATTCATTGATCTTTTCAAATCTTTTTTCAAATTTCTAAAATTTTGAAAATTTTCCGAGATATTAAGAAAAAACTAAAGCCCCATTTTTTTCACTTAATTGTTTATAACTTTTGTAGTTTTTATCGGCACGTTTTCGGACCTTTCCTTAAACTTTCTAGGCAAAAATACAAATCGAATGACACCTTGGTCGTAATTTTTGGACAGGGCTGAAAAATGTTACAAAAAAAAAGTACATGTGAACTAGACTAAATACCTGAAGTATCCATTAACATGCATTTGCTGGATGTGACTACATCTGCTCTTTATAATAAAGAGGAAAATATTTTATCAACATTTTCAATAATTCAGAAGTTACGTGCAGTAGCTGAAACTTTCTCAGTTTCAGAACCAAGTTAAGAAGTACGTTTTAAAAAAGGTATCAATTATATTCTCAAATGTATGGTACCAAAACTACTAAAAACAACCTACAACAGAATACACCAAATATTGAGTTGTAAAACCAGTGGGCAGGTACTTGATAGGTATTTTAGTAATTTATTGTTAGACCATTTGCAAATGGCGCCGTAGTTTTCCCACAAGAAATAATTTTTATCCCTGTTGATTACCTACCTGATGGTTCGATCATGAAGAATGAAATCGTCATTTTGGTATATCGCTGAAAACGCTATACAACTCAGCACATTATTTCCGACAGAGGATACCGCTAAATAAGATATTAATCTAGTTTGCCCTAGTTTAACAATAGAGCAATGATACTTCCTGAGAAATGGGGGTTACCAAAAATATAACTAACTGAATCAAATAAAGGTTTGCATTTTGCAGCTGTTTTCTGGAATTTTTTAGAGGTATATATTCTTCAAACAAATAATTGCTTGAAGTATTACTTATAAATCTTCGATTTCTCTCGGATGCTTTAGTTCTATTATTATTATATCTTTCATGTGGCACGTGACATAGTTATCACAGTAATAATCATATAAAGATTTCTTTTAAGAAGATGACCGGAACTTATGCATAAATATACATATTGTTTCAACAATATTAATAAGGCTGTCTCGTTTCGATTTTTTATTTCAAACAATGTAAACAAAAAAACTTCTCAAATTCGGAACTGTATCTGCTTGTTTTACGTATTCATCGATGCAAGTAAAACTTTGCAGAATAGTATTTTGTCAAAGTTCATAAATCAAGGTTTTGTCCCATTTATTATTATTGTTTTTATTGAATGTTTCTATCAAAAAATTCTTCCCACCCGGCCATAATGATGTATTCGAGTCATGTATTTCAATAAGGGATAAGTTGAATGGATAATTTTGAATTTTTTTTAAATCCAAAATTCATTTATTGAATGAAGCAAAAGTTTCTAAAGTTCCTATCCATGTATGTAAAAAAAATTCTCCATNACTGCGTCATTGACGTAGTTGCGTAAAGTTACATAGTACTGTCTAGCGGCTGCTGTCTTTTCTTTAAGATATTTGGCATGAGCTCTATCACGGGTTTTCATCATCAATTTGATATTATAAGTTATATACGGGGATGCTTTATGTTTTCTGTTTACAGTGCAAATTGGAGCATGTTTGTCAAAAAGCATAATGATGCATTCGATGAGAAAGTTTACTTTGGTTTGGTTTTAGTTTTGTTGGTCTAGATTCTCCTATGTTACCCTCTAATTGAAGTGTGATGTTACTGAAATATTATGTATCACTCCGCAAAATTTCAATTTTTTTTATGCAAGAGCCGACAAACCCAGTTACATACATGAAGTGTGTCAATTTTAAAACTTAAAATGGGCTATATCTCACGAACGAAAGCTAATATCGAGAAATGCTTGAAACCGTTTCTAGGATAGTGAGGGGGAACTAAACTGACATGAAAGGGAACTCACCCCCTTGGCCCCACCCACCAAAACACAAAAATTTTAAATGCAAACCTCTACTTGTGATACATCATTGACAAGACTATAAAAATGATATCCAATGGTATAAATAATAATTGTACAGGGTGAAGCAATAATTGTGAAACTTTGACTTAAATGGAATATTTAATGAGGTTTTTGTTGAACTGTAAATTTATTGAAAATGTCAATTGAGTAAATGTTCAAAGTTGGTTCCGTTGTTTTGTAAACTATAATACAGCCTATTTTCAAATTCTGCGCAAACTTTGGCAAGTGTTGTTCTAGTGATGGCGCGACATGCTTGCGCAATTCTTTTTCGCAATGCCTCAAGTGACGCAGGTTGAGTTTTATAAACAACTGACTTGAGGTGACCCCATAGAAAAAAGTAAGGTGGCGCCAAGTCTGGTGACCTCGGTGGCCACTCAATGGAACCTCCTTCCCATCCATTTGTTCGGATAATTAGTAGCCAACCAGCGCCTAACTGGAGCTGCATAGTGAGGAGGTGCTTCGTCTTGTTGGAAGTGCAGCAAATCTTCGTCTACAGCTAGGTTGCCTAGGTCGTCCCTTTGGTTCTCTAATTCATGCACAATTAAAGGTTCGATGGTGTTTTCCAGCATATTGAGATAAATGTCGCCACTTAAATTGGCTGGTATGAACAAGGGACCAATTATAGC